TATATTAAATAAAAAAAATTTAATGAATTAATTATTAGTTCATTAAAAATAATTTGTTTATTATAATATTATTATTAATATCTAAGTTATATTACTATATTATTATTAAATTATTTTTAAAATATGTATTTTTATTTGTAACATTTATTTTAAATGATGTGTGCATTAAACACTGACTGTTTTCAGACAGGTTTTCTAAACATTCCTCCATCAGTTCACAGCAAACTCACTCCGGCGGAGTCAGACGCCTGCAGTCTCTCATGAATCTTGTCTTTCTGGACACAGATACTTCGTTTAGATCCTAATGAACTGATCTTTAACGACTATTTTGGCTTTTGCGGCTTCATTCCTGTATAGTCCCCAGGAGTTTGATACTCCACTCATATTGCCAGGCTCATGCTGATTTTATTAATAGAGTCTCATCCCATATCTGGCGTGTGTATCGGGGATCGCTGCAGGAGTGAAGAGACACAATCTGAAGTATCTGTCTAATGGACATCACTGTCGTTCGGTTGGCTTGTACACACCACGTGCAGCTGAGTGACAATCCTATTGAGTTGCAACATGTGACCTGTGGTTATTTTTATTCATTTCATTTACATTATTGACTTAGATTACATCAACATGCAATTAGTAAATGTCAGTGTTCATTTGTTCTTCATTTTATCATGAATTTGATTAATGTTGTTTCTCATTACAATAATATTAAAGACTGACTGTGTTTATATTATTTATCTGAAGTGTTTTGTGATTGCTACATTTTTTTTCTATTGGAAAATGTTTTAAAATGTCAATATTTATTAAAAACACGATTTTGTGTATAAAACATTACAGGCATTTTTAAATCAGATATTTATGCATTTATGTCCAATTATGTTTCTATTTATTTATTTAACATTATCAACACACCTTATGTGTTGTGTTTGATAAATAATTTCATGGTTGTAATGATATTTTAAACATGTTTGAATGTTTGGCTCCTTTGTTTTGCTTTCTAATTTCATAGACAGCAGTTTATGAATTAATGCAGACATTCTATTAGTGTTTTTTTTACCTTGTATTTTTTACTTCAATATTTTCTTCAATATTTGTGTGACATTTCATCTCACACACACACACACACACACACACACACACACACACACAAACAAACAAAGTTTGTTAGTTGCAAGATTCTTGGTCATGATGTAAATAATATTTTTTACAATGTGATACAAAATATTTTCCACAATAAAAAGCCTATTGTATATGCCTATTTAACTTTTTAAAGTATTTTTTTATTTTTTTTATTTATTTAATTATGGATTTTCTGTTTAATATTTAATCGCTCGGACAAGGGTGAAAAAATCTGCACAAAGAAAATATATTATTTTATGTTATTATTAAATAAAAATATAAAAAAATAAAAAACAACGATTTTTTAAATTATTATTAATTATTACTAAATAAAAATAGATAATAATAACCATTATTATTATTAATGTTACTGTTATTATTATTACTATGCCATATTGTTACATAATAAAAATCTGCAGCCCTTCAGTCCAAACAAGCACATCGAAACTTGTTTAGCGCATTTTAAATCGATATCGCAAATGTCATCACAAGACGCTTCCACCGAGTCATAGTTACTGGATCCCTGTTAATCGAAAGCACTAAATCCCGCTGTCAGCCGCAAGACCTCGTGGCGCAACGGTAGCACGTCTGACTCCAGATCAGAAGGTTGCGTGTTCAAATCACGTCGGGGTCAAAATTTTCATCTTTACTCTCCGAGCTTATTAAGTATTAAAATTAATAGCACATATTATATTCCGAGTATGATTATGAAATTCAGTCACATGTTGGCAGTAGGCCTACAGAATAATAACAATAATTACACTATTCCATAAGAATTCTAGCATTCAAATATTGAAACGGTGCTTGATCTTTGACAGGACAAGATTACATGTTTATTCTATTGAAAAAATGTTTTACAATGCCAAAATGACATGTAGAATATAGACATTAATATAAAATGTAGACATTTTCACCATAAAATATCATTATATTATTAGATACTTACATATTACTTCATTTTATTTACAAAGTTTGAACATTAATGTGCAGATCACTAGGTGGCGCTGCAGCACAATAAACGCACCAGCTTCACGTCCATATCAGTCTGAAAAACACGAGGTTTGAACCTGACACGCAGTGCTATTAACAGACAGGAGCAGCAGAATAAAGTCCTATAGGATAATTCCAGAAACTGCAGCACAAACCTCGTGGCGCAACGGTAGCGCGTCTGACTCCAGATCAGAAGGTTGCGTGTTCAAATCACGTCGGGGTCAAATGTTTATTCTTCGCATTTGAACCCACAGATATATATTTATAAAACAATAAATGCAGAGAACGTAAATAAGATCTCATTCTGAAATCCAGAGGAACAAATCTTACCTTCATACAAGTGTGGGGCAGTTCATGTGGATATTAAATGTTCAATATTCAGAGAACATAAGGGAAGTTGATCCTGCGGTGCCAAAGAGGTATTTTAGAGTAAACATCAGCGTTTTGGGTCTAGGTTTTTTTTTTTTT